ATTTTAAAAAAATTAAAAACTTCCTGCAATATTCCTCCCTCATAGCATAGGTCCTATTTGGTTTTACAGTATATATATATATATATATATATATATATATATATATATATATATATATATACTGCATTTGCATACAAATGTATGTGATAATATTGAAAAAATCAGTTCCGAAAACGACTGACTTATAGCTTTAATAGGCCTCCTTGATGAAATTCTTACTTCCTATACATTATTTGTCGACATTATGTATCAGAATTTATTGAAGATTAATTGCAAACAATGAAATATTATACTCTAGTCATCGGTTAGTCCAAGTATCAGTTTCGGTTCATCTTCTCTGCAACAACGCACAAATGTTTTAAAGCTAGTTTCACCAACTTTCATTTAAAACATACCGTACAATGAACAAACCACGTGTTGGCAAAACTCTTGGCGATATCTTATTATCAGAAAATTCAATGCCATCCCATTTCCCCGCAGATCTTTCCGTCTGGCTCTGGCCTGGCTGCTCTCCTCAACAAACTCCCATTCTCTTTCGCTTTACCTCTTCCCTCGCGCGTCCTTGCCGCGTTTACGTCTGCCTTGGAATTTTGCTCGCACCCCGAATCTGGCAGCGCAGATACCAGATAAGCACGCGCATAATGTTCACGTGATTAGAAATACACGCATGGTGGAATATGTGTTACTTTAACATGATCATTAAGTATCGGATATTTAGGTTATGCATCTACAAACTTTAATATTTTATTTCTAGCATGTTATGTAATCCAATTGAAAGCATTTCAGAAACTTGCATCTAAATCACCCCACTGCCCCCAAAAGAGACTCTCTGCCCTTATTTCTCAGTCTTTGCAAAATAAAAAGCACATTACATAATAAATATACTCTTACACTGACTAAAGTTAAATCAATGAGCACGCCATTCACTTTGTTTCACCACGTTTTGTTTGAAAATAACCAGTCTCTTTTCTTAACTCCAAAAAACTAAAAGCTAAGGAGGCCCATTGTCATTCATCGCAAGTTATTGCGGCAGCTGCCTTATTTTGCCGGATAACTTGCCGATGCCAACGGTGCTTCGAAACGAACACCGTTTAGTTTTGAAGTATTTAGTATGTTGCTATTTTATGTCTAACATTTGCGCACTTCTGAAGGCAAATGTATTACTTTTTTCAACCGAAGCATCAACTATGTGTAAGAGCTTCATCGCATTTACTAGAGCTCACCGGTAACCCAAGGACGTATTTCAAACAATACATATAGCAGAGCCTTTCACCCACTCCTCCCCTCACCACGCAACCAAACTCCTGGTCCTTTACAAAGCGCCGCAAAACTCGTCAGAACCGGACAGATGTTTGCAAGGTTAGCAGTGTTCATTGCTATTGTTTAATTAACAGGAAAATGTCTCGAGAAACTTTTGTCTACGTACATTCTCTACGCGTTTTCACATCGTGAAGGCACAATGGGCTCTTATGGGCAATGAAAGAATCTCGTGCACTGTAGAAAATCGATTGTTGCAGAGGCAAGAAGAAAAATATTGTCCTGTAGAAAAAATTACGGGGAACACGGCGGTGACTATGAAAATTAGTTTGTGACATTCGTATTCTTTTTAAATAAAACAATAAAAACGCTGGATACCTGCGGAAGTTGCTTTTAAACACCTTTTTATTTAAACCTTAAAATATATCAAAAAATTGGTAAAATTATTTGGAAAAACTCGATACAATATTTCAGTTACTTCAGATGTGGAAAATGCTTCTAATTTATGTGTCCCTTAAAAAATGAATAGTCAACGAAAAATGTATGGATTTTTTATTTGTGTATTATAATACATCGTCGCTGGGATATTTTGGTTATTTAAGTCCAATTAAAAGCGACAAAGTTTTAGGTAAACTGAAATAATTTTCTATCATCACCCGAAGGGCTTCGGATGCGATACTTCTGGATATTTGTTGTGTGTTTTGAAGACGAGCATCGCGCGATGTGAGACAATGTGAGGTCCACTGGAGACGCCACGAAAATATAATTCACACATGCCCGTAGGGCTGAAAGGAAGTGTTTATATACTGTCATCAGCGGAAGGGACCAACCAAATCAATACTCAAATGATCACGAGAAGCCCTTTCGAGAATTTCACCTTGCTGTGTATTCTGGTTAGTCGGCTTTTTGCTCGTGAATGGGATTGATGACGTGCAATGGTAAAGCAAAGTAGGTACGGTTTTATAATGTGTAATTATAAAAAACATAATTATATTTTAATAATATAGTCAATCGTGTAGTGTGTCAAGAGATCAAAATTGATCGCAGGGAAAAGGGTAAAATAAAAGTGGTAAAAAATGTTAAAGTATTCGAGAATTTAAAAGAAAAATATCCCAAAATTGGAGTCAATCTTGTGAATGGACTTCACGTAGTAACAGGCATCAGATGACATTCCCTCTTTAGAATGAAAAAGGAAAATGAGAACTGATATTTCTAATAATGTGTGTGAACAAACATTTTTTTACGGTAGATGAATATCTTGAGAAAGGCAGCCCTGATTTTGCCCTCGGTGGCTCGTTGGTTAGCGTGCTCTCTTTCCACGGCGCAACCCCCAGGTTCGATTTCCAGTCGGGGAAAAATTATAATTGTGCGCTTTCCTTACAAATGTCTTAGTATCTATTGTGTGACGATGAGAAATCCCACCCTTAGTTATGAAGATCAGTATATTGTGGCGTCGTTAACACGAGGGCCAGAACCGTTAGGTTGGTGAAAGTACGCTGCGGGGGAGGAAGCGGTTAAGCCTGAACATCCGGAGTTTGCGCTCTGGCGGTTGACTCATGTAGAGCCGCAGAGCCACAAAAATACCGTTGGCTGTAAACTCCGAGGAGGCTAGCTAGCGTGCCTCAACCGGAAGCAGGCAGCCAACCTGAGTGTGGGCATAACCAACCTGTGTGTGGGCGTAAACCAAAGGCTGGCCTGCGAGCCTCGCGCCAGTGCGAATCTATCTATGGAACAGTGGTGGGGGTGTCAGCCTCAACTATTTAACGCGGCGCCATCTGCGCCCGCGTTCTCATTCAGTTTGCATCGGGAAGCTTGTACGTGTATGTACAAGGAGGGTGTAGGAGTGAGGGCGAGATGTCCGGAGAGTAAGGGCCAGACAATCTCACGTGCTGTAGGCACACGGTCGCCACGACCGGGTTAACTTTTGGCGTCAGGCCATGTGACGGTAATTGTCACGGGACAGAGGTCCGACGGCGCGCATCACGCGTGGCTTGTATTTTCTGCGGTAAAGCAGTGTTCCGAAAGGAAAAGGTTGCCGGAGTGTTTAATATTAGCAATTCATTGTAACTTGTACATAATCTTTGAATATATTATTTTTATTTTGTTATTGAAATTTATTTCTTATTTCACTACGTCACAATATACGATGGAGGGAGGTCTTCGCTGGTCCAGGTCCGTCCAAGGCCCTTATCGGGTTGTCGAGCCAAAAGAACATGACAGGACAACGGTGATTTTGACGATTCTGGGGCGAGCAGGCTCGCGAACGTGTTTTGTCGGCTACAACGCGCGGATTCTCTCTATAAGAACGTTTCTGTAACGAAAATGTATTTTTTTTGAAACATTGCTAATATTGCAATTTAAAATTTGTTTTTATTTGTTAAATTTTTACTCATCTTTTAACTATTTGTAGTTAAAGGGACGGGAAGGGATTCTGAAACTCAAGGAAACTTGCGTAGATAATCTACCCCCTACATGCATCACAGTTTTTACTGCATTGTTTTTACTCAAATCTAAATCTAACAAGGAAAACATTTGAAGAGCAAGCCTTTAAATCATCAAATCGTCAGTTCATCTACTTGGCAGCTGTTTTAGCAGCGCAGAAGAAATCGAGGTTAAACTGAATAAATTTGCTCTTTAACATACGTGGCATTTCCTTTCCACAAATTACAGCGTCATTCAATGAAAATTCTGAAAAAATACACGGAAAGAGGTAGTTCCAGACGAAAGAACACGAAAGAATTAATATGTGGAGCCTGTTTACGATGCTACCTGTCAGAAAGTTATTTCTGTTATTTGAAACTCCTCGGTGGCATTCATTCTTGATGGAACGACGATGCTAGTTTTAGCCTCAAATTTCCGAATATTACACAGTACATCCAGGTTGCCTTCATTCCCACCGACTCCATTTACTTACCAATTCGTAGTCCTGTATCATACGAGCGTTGCGTTGACGCGTGTCACCTCACGCTGATGACGTGAGCCGCGTCGATACCCGCACACACGAGTCACTGAACACGCGACCTAGGTTAACATGTCATGTGAAACGGCTAGGCGACGCGCGTTAGCAACAACGCTCGTGTGCCGTTTCGGATAAAAAAAACTGTTCATTTTCGACGCATTAACCGACTGTGCTCAAGCATCGAGGAGCGATGACGTAGCTCACGTCATCTGCGTCAACGAGACGCTCGTGCAACACAGGCCTGAATTAAGCTTAACAATATAAGATTGAAGACCACACTTATCCATCCCCCACGTCCACTTTCGAACCCGTGACCCTTCACAACGCGATATCGCGGAATTCGTGCTCTAACCACCTGAACCAAACAACAAATGGGTTATAACAATTTTCTGGAGAAAGAGGTACGATTGACAATTTACAAATACAAGAGTTCACTTTCATTTAATACATAACATTTACACTACATAAGCATTAATACTCTTAAAATTTATATCCACCTATGAATAAAATGTGTAATAATGGCACTGTCCTCTGAATAAGGTTCTATCGGACTTTAAAATTTAGAGGAGCATTTTGGTAGTTTGGAATCGCAAAATCCATAGTCTCATTATGTTTTTATAAAATTTCCTGCATGAATTTAAATGTTTCATACTCTAGTTTAAACGTAGTGGCACTTCAAAATGACGAGCTGGAGGTAGAGTGGGATATTGTCATCCAATTGGGAGCTTCAAGACCTAAAATTTAAACCGCAGCGCAGCTCCCAATTGGATGCTCCTTCTCTGTCCATGTCGTCACTTTGAAGTTCCACTGTGTTTAAATTGAGTAATCAGAATACATTTGTCAGTTCTATCATAACACATTGTGAAGAAAGTTTCGGCCTTATTACCCTGAGGCCACTTCTTTCGAATTTGAAAATGTAGTGCAAACTTAATGCCTCGAGCATTATGAACGAGTTTTATGTGGAAATGTTTGGGATCAAGAAAACTTCTAGATACAATTTTTCCACACACACATATACACGCACACCATCTCTAATTTTATAGAAAAATGTCAATTTGTACTGCAGGTATGATGAAAATGTGAACACCTGGAATGCGTTAGAGTGACAATTCTAAAGAGGAAAACTCCTTGTGGGTACTTGAGTTTTTAACACGCTTCAACGTGAAAGAAAAATTTCACTAACTTCAAGAGGTACTACCACAAAAATCGTATTTGCATGTCAAATATTTATATATATTTTTAAAGATTTGTGTGGAACACACTAAAAGGTATGTCCCTATAATTGCTGTATTTTCCATTTTAAAACCACAAAATACTACATACATTTAAACACGCAAAATAAAAGTCTGTAACCAGTAAATACCGTTGGTGCCGAAAATAATGGTAGCCTAAGCTGTCGTAACTGTCCATTTCAGAGTACACCAATCGCATGGTCAGAGCCGTGGGGCTGAAGGAAGAGAGCTCGAGACCGAAGTGAACGGGTGAGCTGGTTATCCCGAACAAAAAAAGGCCAACTTATTTTGATATTCACTCTTAGTAACACCCCCACCCTCAGGCATCTATGTATCAAGGGTTCACCGACAAACAATGAAAAAAGTCAAAAATACAAGTTGTCCAAACAAGTTTATTGTTTCGTCTATCTGACAGCCACACTTTCTAAATACCGAATAAAAATTCAAATGTACTGAATATTGTTAGCCATTAACACTACTAATTTGGTTGCGCTGATCAGCTATTCGCAGTATGCGTGAGACTCTCATCTCTACATTTCAATGAAATAATTCGTACTGGCGGTTTAAGATTTATATGCCATTTCCATTGGTTTTGCAGGATTGTTTATCTTCGGGTTTAACCAGTTTTCCATTTATTTAACTTTCAAATCTTTTTAGATTGTTTCTAAATTCGAATATAATGTTTAAAATGCTTTAGCGAGTTTCAAGTTTGTTTTAAGGAAACTTGAGCGTGAGCGCAGACACCGTTTTCACTAGGAGCTCCGCAAGCGTCCGAAACAGAACCACGGTGCCGGCCCTGCGATGAGAAAAGTAAGTAAACGAACAGTTAAAATAGTTTGCTGCTTTCCACAGTGACATTACACCAAGGCCTGTGTTATACGAGCGTTGCATTGACGGGCGTGATTAGATTTAACACTATCTTATGCGGAAAGGACAAAGCGCTCCGATTCACATAAGATAGCGTTAATGCAACGCTGGTGAGCAGAGACCCTGAAGGTAATTTTTGAGGCCCCATACTTTTCTTTTGCGTGAAAGAATGCATGTAGTACTAAACATTGGAATAGTTTTGGAACTAAACAATTAGAGTAACCTTTATAATTTTATGTCCCACAAAAATCTTCAATAATTGATGTAAATATTTGAAATGCAGGTACAAGAAATAAGTTTTTGTGGTAGCATCTTGAAGTTAGTGAAACTAATTTTTCGGGTTTAAGTGGATTAAAAAATCAAATATCTACCAAAACTTTAAAAAATCTTTTATTAATAAGAATGTACAAAACTATTCTCATCCACTTCAGGTGCCAACTTTATTAAAGGAAGGTAAAAGTTATAAAATTGTAAGGAACCCGGCGTGGAAGTAAACATTTTAAGTTTTCTTGGTCCTACACGTATTCCACACAGTATGCTCAATATTTTCGGAGGTATTACCTTTGGGGGTACATTATAATTCCTTTATCATTTATTTTCATTTTCAGCGGGTGCAATTATTAACATGTTGTATCAGTCCGATTCACAGATCTATGTGCTCATTAATTGGTATAATTGATTTAATACTAACTCCAAATGCACCACAGAGATTATCCAAAAGAAACAAAATTTACCTTTATGACGAAATACAAAATTAAACACCATAAGATGACAAAACATTGCGGGTCAATAGGTTTTAAAAATTTAGCATTTTCTCTATTTTATTTAAACTATGAAGCTTATATTTCTGATGCATTTTGGCGTTATTTGCAAAGAATATTAGTCGAAACTGTACAACATGTTTATATTGTTTGCTTTACTTTATGAATTTCAATTAAAACCTTCACATTTTAATAAAATATCCGAGCATTAGCATTAAAATGTTGTTTAAAAAGTTTTATATGGTTCAAGCTAGACTACTAAATGCAAGATAAAATTACTACTTCCCATATTCTGTTCTCCATCCTATAATTATTTCCCATGGACGGTCGTCATATTTCTATTCTTTTGGAACTTCATTAGTACAGTTGCCATCATCACGCGAAAAATTTGAAGTAGATTCACTAGCTGGCACCATCGCCCAATCAGTGCTGTTTGATGGTTGGTCTCCCGAGCCAGGGGACGAAGAATGTTCTATTACAGTCTCTTCTAAATCCTCCAATTGCTCATGGGTGTGGCTAGGAGTATCATCCTCGGAACTCTCTATGAATTCCGTCAGCTCCAAAGAAGAATGGCTGCTCAGTGGTACACTAGATGTTGATTCTGCATCTTTGCTCACACTACGACACAATCTGCCACGTCCAGGTTTTCCTATGAATTCACTGCTCGTGCCATCGCTTCCCTCGTGGGCCTTTTTCATTTCTTGGGAATTTTTCTGCAATAATATTTGACACGGATGAACATTTGTAAACCATATGTACACAATTATGAGGGTTGGGGACCTACTGAAGAAATGGAGATTTATGAGTGATACAAGGAGTAAATTGCAATAAAAAACTGCACGGAAACTTCACAACCCATCGAAAATTGGCAGAACGCATTATTGCCTACGATAAATTCCACTTAAATCGAGACCGAACCTGACCAACATTTACGTTACTCATTGCAGCACGGGTTTCGTTTGCGAAAGATTGTAAGCGTGCCATCATGTTTACTCTAACTATTCATATTAAAGAAGGCTGTATGACCTTTGCACATTTGTTAACCCTCCACGTATCTACGCCTAGAATTGCTTCGCATTCTGATCGAGACTGGCTAATATCAACGAGACTAAGGTTTCAGAAAAATCAATAAACTAACAAAAACTTCAAGAGCAAAAATTAAATTACACCAGATTTTAGAATTTAGACTTTGGAATGACATTGGAAATACTAGTACAAACACCTTTAGATTAAATTTGCGTATTATGTTTATATTATCTACACTGATGAAGATCCAGTGGAGCCGTAGACCCTACTATTTTAGAATCATTTTTCTTGGGGCAATGGTATTTCCACATCCATAATTTTCTGAACGGAATTTCTTTTAATGTTTCATGAAATTATGGTAAAATAAATTAGCAATTTGTGGTTGATGAATATACCACTAAGCTTCGCTAAGAGAATAAACCCGTTTCTGAACAGAGTTAAGAGTATTTTTTAATAAAATGTAATGTTAAAATTTTCTGTTTTCTTTTTACTTCAGTAGTAACTTTGAAAATTTTGAACTGTAGTCCACGTTTTCAGATATGATATGTACGAAACTCTTACGGTATACGAGGTCCTACAGTATACTCTACGATTCAAAACATTTGAAAAACAATAGGCAAGAAGTTCTTTGGACCACTTCATGTCGAAATAATGAAAATTCTTTCCGAATAGATCTCAGACAAGCTATGAAAATTGCTGATTTATTTTACCATAATTTCATGAAACATCAAAAGAAATTCGCCACTAACGGAACTGGCAGAAAGCGTGTAACACTTCGTATTTTGGAACCATTGAACTCTTCAATGAAAGTATGTACCAGTTAAAGCGATGGAATTAAACGGCTGTCAGAAAATGAAGTGTAGTACAGGATAACTGGCATTCCCAGTTCCGAAATGTCAGTTATGCCGATTACCCAATCGAAAATGTAAGGTCGTTTCAAAATCTATTATCCGTTTTCTGATGTGTAAGTACTAGAGGCAGATACACTCATCCACAGTTATCTACAGATGTACGGACTAAATTTTACTAAATAATGCCTTAATATAACTAATCCTAACATGAACTTTTTGGAAACTAGGGTATACCGCAAGTGCAAGACTATTTTTCCATATTCTAATTTAATGTAATTAAGGTTAAAGATACACTATCGTTAAATGTATAGAATAATGGGATCACAGTGCACGTAGAAGCCCGAGAATAGCGACAAATTTCACAAGTGGCGTAGTTTCGCGCAAAAAGTGTTACAAATTGTGATTAATACGAGGAATGTATTTTGTGTACTTGTCCTAAATTCTGGGATTTCTACCCTCTAAACCATATACAACTATGGATCCAGGTTGAAAATATTTTGTCAAGAATTGATAAGAAATTATTCGTTCCCGTGTAGTAATAAAAACTACTTGCAAAGGCAAATTAGCTTTAGATTGACTTTTATAGCTCGTTACGTTCTACGGGAGCGGGAGCGTGTCAGCTGACCTTCAATACCTACGGCGACGTTACTAGTAAGTTTACTAAGCTACGGATTTAGGCATTTAAAAAGAACTAAAACATATTTAAAAGAGCACTACATATTTCTTTTCTTAAATTCAAGTTGAAGTGGATTTTGTAATTGTTTTATTACCTGCATTAAGTTTAAGCAGAGGCTCTGTAAAACTTGAAATAATGACAGTAAGATCTTTTAACAGATTTCGTTTAAGAAAAATCTCCGAACTCAAAATTTTACTTTTACAATGTTAACGTTTTGCAATTTTCGATAATGTTTTTTAAGAATTGAACCGGCATTTTTTTATCCTTTTGATACATACGGGGAGAAAATTAAAAAAACCTTGAGTCTTGGCGTAAAAATTGTTTAAAAACTAAGTGAAAAATATTTTGACGACACCAGCGATTTTGTATGCGCAATACGAAATACCCGCACTGTGGTGGTAGTAAAACTAAATTGGTTAACCGATTGTTCGATTTCTCCGTTCCATGCAGGACAACGAAAAAATTAGCGTTTTTTTAAGTTTTAGTAAGTATTATTGTTTTACCAATAAATACGAAAGTAGGTAAAATTTAGGCATTTGAATATTTAATTGCCATTTATCAGTGAAATGTGCATTTATAGACACTGAAATTCTCGTATAATATCCCTAATGCCTCAAAATTAATAATTAACCGGAAAGATTGCGTTTCCCATGCAAGGACAAAGTAGGTAAAACTCCGCAGCTTCTTCATTACACACCATATTGACGACCAGTAACTACATCAGACCATTTTTCCACGTACATACGTATATGCTTAATGAGGGGGAACACACGCTCATTAAACCACAATATACGTTGAGCATTTGTTTTTCCTCCCGTTATTCAATCAGATGCATACGTTCATGATTTCTGCGACCATTCGGATTGCAATTATAGCTAAAAAATTACACTAAACTTTTGAACAGTGGGGCACGTTTAATTACAGTAACAACTACATTAAAGACAGTTTTAAACTCTATTATATCATAATTCATAGATTTCTCCTACAGAACGTTCTGAATGAGAGGCCAATTTTAACATAAAAGAAGCCCAGCTGTTCCGCTTGAGCAAAAAAAAAAAAACTTATTTGAAAATTTAAAAAATTAAAACTAAGGCCTTACCGATTCGCAGCTGCTTCTGTCTGCTTCAATACCGAGCGCGTCTGCAAGCAAAGGCAAATTCACTGCCAGATACAAGTTCAGTGACGGAGACAACGACGGCAGGTCGGAAGGGGTTCTGGAAGCTGCATCCACCTCTTCTGCCAGCTCAGCAGTTGGCCAAGGAGAATACCCTGGAAATGACGGCAGTTCAGAAACGGTACTGGAAACCACATCTACCTCTTCTGCACTCTGAGCAACGAGCGGCGGCGGCGTAGGCGTTGTCGCCGTTGATGAGGATGTTAAGATAGCGCTGGCCAGGTCTGCAAGGCTCAGCACTACTCCTACAACGGACGGGCGCCGCTCATTGCTTGTTGTACCTCCATCTCCACTTGATGTCCCTGGTCCGAAACCTTCAGTTGGACCTCCAGTGGCTGCAGAAGGACCTGCAACATTTGATGAACCTATATCGGTACTGAACTGCTCCACACTGCGAATGTTTCTGGTCAGAAACTCTTTGATACGAACCTGTCTCGTTCCTGGTCGAAGGATCATCACTGACAGCGGGTGAGCTCTCTTCCATGGCGTCAAGAATTTCCGCTTCGTCCACAGGTTTATTTATTTGTGGGAAATCTGCAGGCTCCGGAAGTTTACAGTCTGCAGGTACCGGGGGTTTGGGTCCGGGAGAGCTGTCATTTGTGGCCGCGGGCTCTTTCGATGGCTGACCAGAACTGGAACCGCCAGCTGAGCCTGAAGGTTCTGCGGTACATTCAATCCTTCCTGTAGGTTCATCGTCTTGGAAAAGCGGTCTGGCTAGTGAAGGAAATTCGGCTGGGTCAGCAGCGTCGCCCAGTGGCACCGCGAGGCACGCAAGGGGCACGAAACCGCTTGGATGGTCCGGGGACGGGCCCTGTCCTATGGCCGCGTAAGCGGCGAGCACCGACGGACTGGGGGAAACCCTGGTGCTGGTGCTGGGAGATTGCATCTCTGCATGCAAGGGTACCCCGCCTCCTGTGCGTCGGTCGGCTGGTTGTGATTGAGATCCACTGTCAGCGGATACGCTCGAGACCTGTGGATAGAAATGGTAAGAATCATAACTCGGACGTATTGATTTGTCTAAACGAAATACTAACTTTAGGATTTGTACCAATGAGGCGTTCATGTGAAAACTAATATGAAGTTCCCGTGACACGGCCTAGACCAACCTCGTCTGTCGAGTCTGCAGGAACCGGGTGTTCGAGTCCGGGAGATCTGTCGTTTGTGGCCGCGGGGTCTTTCGATGACTGAACAGAACTGGAACCGCCAGCTGAGCCCGAAGGTTCCGCGGTACCTTCAATCCTTTCTGTAGGTTCATCGTCTTGGAAAAGCGGTCTGGCTAATGAAGGAAATTCGGCTGGGTCAACAGCGTCGCCCAGTGGCTCCGCGAGGCACGCAAGGGGCACGAAACCGCTCGGGTGGTTCGGCGATGGACCTTGGCCTATGGCCGCGTAGGCGGCGAGCCTCGACGGACTGAGGTGAACCCAGGTAGCGGTACTGCTGCTGGGAGTTGGCATCCCTGCATCTACTTCGCCTTCTGGACGCTGGTTTGTCTGTTTTGATGAAGATGCATTCTGGGCGGGTATGCTCGAGAACTGGAAAGAAATGTTACGAAAAGTTGGGAATCGTAGATTTACGTTTCAATAAATTTTACTAACTTTTGGGGTATTTTCAGTGGCAAATATCACAAGTAACTAATATGAAATTCCACCACATGTTAAATGATCATCACCTTCTACCCATCCATTGGTCTTTAAATGGTGTAACATTTATTCTAGAACACTAAATGGGTATTAACGCTGCTTGCTACTTGCTTTTCAGGGACCGAACAGTAAAATGGTACGTGGATTTGGAATTACGGACGAGATGCGGATGTGGATGAAAAACTTTGCCAATATTCAGGCTGCAACATTTGCTGGGAAAATCCCACCTTACTGCCTGTTGGTATTTATAGACCATCTCGAAAAGTCCCGAAGAATTAATGAAGTGTACATCCCTATTGAGTGGTCACGGGAGTTCTCACGTCAACTTTTGATGCCTGCATATAACCCGACTATCTCGATGTAAATGCTGCTGGATCTTTCCCTTTCTATTCGCGCGTCCCACCGTAGGACTGTGCATAAGTATATAGGACTGTTATAGCGTGAAAACGAAGATATGCTGTCTAAGAAGTCATTCGTATCTTCGTACAGATTTGTCTTCAAATTCTTTACTTCTATTGCCCGATGTAATTCATGAAAAACCCAACATCTTTGCAATCATTTTAAATTCAAAATATTTTGGATAACCACCACTATAGCGCTATAGGTCCTTTAACTTTACAGCAAATTTCTAGGATTAACAATCCTGTAATTATATAAATCTATATCACCTCCAGTACCTTACATCACATTTATAATTATTCACGTAATTCCCGAAATTATATTACATAATATTACACGATTATTGAAAATTATTTATCGTTAGCCTTCTTAATTCGTCTATCCTTCCACAGTTACGTGATTCAAACAAGCCAGGTTTTTGTCGGCGTCAGGTTGGAACGAAGAAGGATTTAGAGAAACAAAAAACTGAAGACTATGGCAAACATTAACGAAGGCGTTAATAATAAATGTAGGGGAAGTTTAAAATTCGAGGAAAATTACATTCCACGAACTTTCGTATAGTATGCTCAATCTTCTCTACTTAATTGGAAGACCAGAGCACGCGACCTAGAAACTAGGAAGGTGGCGCTGGTAGAGGACATATGGTAGGTGTGTCAGAAGTTGGCGCCACAATCTGTCCTGAGAGACCCAGCGCCCAAGTAATAAAGTGAAATTGAAAATTAACAATATGCAATTATCTGATGGCAAGGTAATAAAATTTCTAGGTCTCGAAATTACTCTCAATTCCGTCAAACCTCAAGAGCAATACGCATATCAGAATTAAACTCTTAAACCAAGTTCATGTTACGCAATTAAAATGTTTTGGAATAAAAGATGGACATAAAGAGTAGCTTCACTAAACGCACGTTTTGTTGAACTCTCCTTTTGCTTGTAGTTTTAGGAGTAAAGCCGCGGGAGTGTTACTATTTTGTTGATGCAAAATCAAACCTGTAATTCATTTACCAATGTGTATACGTTGGCTACAACGCGGAAACGAAAATGTCCATTTTCGTTTCAAATGTTCCTAATCTCTATTATTTTCATTTTTTTAACATTACTTCAATGCTTTATAGTTAAAATATTAGGAATTTATTCTGGAGCTCATGAAAACGTGAGCAGATGGTACGTCCCCTTACGACACAGTTTGAACAAAGTAACACATTTTGAGTAAAATTAAACGCCGAACTGTGATATTAATTTCGGCAAGCTAGCTTCAGCCTACCTAAGACGCGAGAGAGATGGGGAAGCGCGAGTATTTTCCCGATAAAGACACGACGGGAACAAATTGAAAATGACTAAGGATAAGACCATCCCCCCCTCCTCGAGATTTGACATTAAAACCAGAAACCCACCCCACATTGAAAATCCGCAGTTTATACACACGCGACGTATATAACGCGACTGAAGGGAAGATTCTATCTGGACACCTAGAAAACGTCGACTGATACTTCATGAACGAGTTATAAAACCAATCACCTCCCGAACGAGTAGAAAGACAACGTATGCGCAAGGAGAGGGGCAGCCGAAGTTTACTGGAAGCGGGGAAACCCTTAGAGCTCATGCGTTATTTCACGACTTCAATATCTTTACTTTTTTATTTACTACTCTACATAACATCAATGTTACTTCTGTAAATTCGTAATTCTACATTCATTTCCACAAATTTGAGTGATTGCAGCCAAAACCATACAGGCAAGAAGTAAATAGTTCTAATAGGATTCTAGATTTAAAAATTATGGAACACTTTAGGATTGTTAAATTCGATACTTATGTTTCAACTTTTCCTCCCAATTCAAATTTAAAGGATCTTTTCCCCATTTTCAATGCATTGGGACGCGATAAACAAGACAAACCTCGGGCTGTGACGCACTATGCACAGGTAGTTGACGCCTCACACCAGGCGTTCGCCCAGCATTTTCGGTATCTGCTTCCATCGAGTCCGGACCGCTCGTATCAGCAGTGGACGAGCAATCCTCTCCGTAGCTGCCATGCGAAGAAGACTCGCACGTGGACGTATCTTCTGATGTTTCTATAGTCTCGTACCCCGATGAAGCAGTGGCTGCTGCTGCCGCCGCCGCCAATTCAGCCATCGGTGGCCATCGGGTCATGCCGAAAGATCTGGCGGGGCGCCGAGCGCGCGAAGCTGAACCAGTGGGACGGGCAGGCGCCGACTGGCTTGAAGTACTAGGCGAGGAGCAGCTCTGGTTGGAGGTTGATGGACCGCTCATGTGTGCGGAGTGAGAAAATGTGCTGGAAGAGGCCCGCGTCAGCGCGAATCGTTGAAGGTTAGCAGTAGAATCGGGTGACGCGTTGCTGGTGGAGGCACTCGGGCTAGATGAGCTTGGTTGGGGAACCGAGGGGTCAGGAGGATAAAATATTGGAGAGGACAGCGAACTCATAGGGACACTACGAAAGCACGACTCCGTCACGCGCACAGGAGACTGGAGCTGAGGATTGGGACGTAACATATGTGAAGGGTCAGAAGCGGCCCCCACCGGGAGTCCGGGAGATTCGCCAGGAAGTGAAGGCGAAAAAGGATGGCCCGACTGTTCGGACAAAGATTGGAGTACGGAGTATGGCGAGGAGGAGGAAGGAGAATCGTGCGACGATTTTGCGCTTTTCGGCGAAGGGTTGGATTCTTGCGTGGAAGTCGGCAAGGCTTCGGCGCGTGGCGATTGAACACTGTTCGTAGCAGGCGAAAGTGAATCTGACGAACATGGCTGCTCGGAGGGACTGGATTGAGAAGGAAGATCCCTCTCTGAATATAGTCTCTTCGTCGGAGGAGACCGAGAGGGGTCCCGACGGCGTGAACCTGATTCAAACGGAGAAAGTTGCGCAACACTTTTGGGAGAGCGCGAATCACGTGGGGAAATATATTGTAGAGCCTGAGGTCCACTATTAGCTGAAATTTCTCCTCGCGGAGAAACATTGGTTTGACGCGACGGAGAAAGCGATTGCTGCTCAGGAAATTGGAATACACGGGCTCCAGATGGTGATCCGAAGCTCGGTGATAGACGTCGACGCGGAGATTTACGCTTCCGTGATGGCGAGTCTGGACTGAGAAACATTTGTTCTTGTGGACCGAGTCGTCCGCTTGTTGCAGAGGGCGACTGCTGAGCGGGTGACCTAGATCCTCGTGAAATGGGTTCGTTGGCGTTTGGAGAGAGGGATGGTGACGAGTCTGGCGTAGTGAGATGCTCGCTTGCTTGAGTGAGCGTCTCTCCACCCGGAGAGGCTGATCCTCGTGAACCTATGCTGCCGCTTGCCGGAGAGAGTTTGCGACCTGGAGTCGTCTCCGTGGTAGGGAAAAGCTCTTTTTTTGGCGAGGGTCGCTGGCGGGTTGGCGACGTTTCCGGTGTAGCGAGACGTCCCGTTGATAGTGTATGGACGTCTCGAGGCACTGGCCTTGATCCTGGTGAAGCGCGGCGCCCGCTTGTTTGAGAAGATGGCAGGCGGGCTGGAGAAGAGGATTCTGGAGTAACGAGCTGTTCACTTCTTGAAGGGGCTTCATCTGAAGATGAATCATTTGGCGGAAGTCGAGATCTTTGCGAAATGGGGAGGGAATAAAGTGGTTGTGGTGCAGGCGCCATTACGGACTGTCCTGGCGAAGGAGATCGCGACTTGTCGGTCGATGAAGGAGCCTCAAGTAAGATTAATAGCATTTCAGGTCCGATATTCGATAACGACAAGGCTCGCATTTCCGAATTTACGAACGGTACCGACGACCGAGATCCGAGTTCGATATCAGAGCTTTCTAGAATGGTAGTGGTAGTTTCCATTTCAGAACACGAATCCGTCTGTGAAGAAGGCTCGCTCGCAATACCGACCAATGGCATTTCTTGTCTCGAATGTGGTGCCGCAGCGGGGGAAAGTTGTAATTGAAGAGATGTACGCGGTCGGCCAGGCGATTGTCTTCGGGACGGAGAAAGTTTTACGGGAGATTCGCACGATTGGCTCGATGACGGCTCGTCTATGTCTCGGGAAGGGTTACCACTCCCAAAAAACGTGGCCTCGATGCCAGAAGAAACCCCGACCCTGTCTACAGATTCACCGCTACCGGACGTTAGTCCTTGTAATTCATCACTAGAAACTTCGGAACCGTGCAGGTGTGAAGCCGTTCCAGCTGACGTAAACCCTCTTTCAGAAGAATCCAGTGGCCACGTATGCGACTGAGAATGCCCAGGCGTCGACTGTCCTCTGCCACCGGAAACCAGGTTCACCATTTCCCCTCCGTGTTCGCGAGAAGCTGGAGAGAGTAGTCGACCGATCGGGACAGGAATGCGCGAGGGCGGTCGGGGAGACAAACGCGGCGCTGCCGATTCCGAGGGAGCCTGCAAAGATCGCGGCGAAGACGGCACAGCTCGAGATGAAAGAGCGTGAGCGGAAATGGCCTCCGAATCCGAAGATTTGGGAGAAGGCGACCGCGACCAGGTGGCCGACGCCGCAGAGGTGATGTACACCGAAGAGGAAGAGGCCGAGGACAAAAGGTACGACGGCAGCGCGCCAGGCGGCGGGTCGTGGTGGGCAAGCGGAGAGTCCGACATCCGGAGGGAGGCCAGGGAGTCCGCGTTGAACGAGGCAGAGTCCGGGCTAGTAGTGAGCAAGGGAGAATCCGTTCCGGAGAGAAGCCCTTGTGACAAACGATCAGCCCCCTGGACGGCCTGGGATCCTGACGCATCTTGTGACCCTGACTCGACCAGCTCTGACAGGACAGGCGTATCTTCGGAATTACTTTCCGCTGGACCGACACCGATGTCCGCATGCATTGGGACCTAAACAGAAATATTGAGCAAATATTGACATAAACCTATTTACTTTGTAATCTTCATGAATATTTAAGCTCGTAAATCTAAGTAGAGTAAGAACTTTGGGAAATTATTTTTGTGCTAATCGCGCTAACAACAGTATTGGCACTTCCCAAGAGTGAAGATTGCAAATTTCGCTCTTACTGCATACATTATATTAAGCCTCAATTAATTATATTACGTCTTCATTATTTTATATTCCGTTACTACGTTAATACTATACATAATTTCCGAACATTTACAATATTTCTCTAATTTAGGGCAGCGGCACATTCCCACCATTATGTAACACAACTACTTGGACAAATTCAAGAAGCAGCAAAGATTTTAAGATAAATTTGTCTCACTATATCGACTACCCTTCCTTTATAGTGAACCATGTCATTTAAAAGAAACCCCAAAAAACTAAATCCCTATATTCAAAAAGTTCTGCGGCCCACACGCATTGTTTATGCGTACCATGTGTAGAATGCAGCCTACAGATTGAATATAACTGCTGTGAGTGAATTAAGGGCGTGCACACGTTCTGAAAAAAATCAAATTCAATTCCTTCTGTCTAACGCATCTTCCTGCTCTACAGGTTTGATCAGGCCCATTGAATGCGTGAAGGAAAGTAGTGTAGGTGTACGTAGCAGATGCAGTTCGAAAAAGTATTTCAGTTTACATTCAATTATAGTTTTTATTATTTTACTTTTCAGGAGTTAATACGAGGGGAAAGTGGCAGTGTTCTAATAGAAAATTATCGTAGCAATTCAATTTCTAAGCAATGATTCATAAATATCACTAAATAATATTAAACAGAGTTAGATTTCTTTTTAAGAAGCCAAAAAGCAATTTTTCCTTCATGTTTCTACCATGATTTACTCGAAACTGCTCTGATAGGCGCCTGTTAAAATGACTTACCTGGTCACGGGCCGGAAGTTGGCGAGCATCCTCAAGACCGTGATGTCGCAGCAACAACCTTCTTGAACGCAGCCATAGCACCTGCGAAAAAATCCTCTTTGTATATAACAATATTATTTACCCTTTATCCATTATATTGTACTGCCTTTATAGAAATTCAATTTCATTACAGCCTGCCCTCTTCCCGAAACTAAACCTTACCTAATCACCACATTCGCAGAAATATCGAGAATCCCAATCTGAAGAAAGCCAACATTAATAGCTGAAAATTCAGTTCTCTGAATTGGTCGCAAGATTCTTAATTACTCCGTAAATATTGATCTGAAGACTCCACACAGTCTAAATTTAGAAGATTTTCACGCACATTATTTGAATTTAAGAACTCATTTGTTCCAGTACTTTTTAAACCCAAGCTATTGCTCATTACTCAGCATTCGTGAAGTAATGCTGAAAATAAACAGCAAATCATTTTAATTTCACAAAAAATTATAATTAGTCAACATTCCAATCTAATTCACACGATATAATTTTGATACGATTATAAAGAATACGAGTAGCTTCGAGGTGTAGCAGATTGCGCCCCAGTACCAGACGCCATGTGATTTATCCTTTATGTAGGGCTCTGTTAGTGGATTTGATCTTTACAGTAGAGATTAGATAGTTTCAAGGGTTTACTGCCATTTTTGAACACATTCCGGCCACTTATTGAACATACACCCCCTACCACAGGGGAGAGATCACGTAGAAAACTTAAGGATGTTAGAAACCACTACTGTGTTCTAAGAAAGTGGAAACTTAAAACACTGTTTTCAAAGAAATCTTAGGATTAAAAAGAATCGAAGTGAGAAAAAGAACCGAGATTGGTATCTTAGCAATACTAGATTAAGAAATTTATATAATGCAATGGAAACTTAAACAAATTTTCATGCGTTACGAGTGTAAGTGTGCGTGGTACAATTCGGAGAAGTTTTGTAAAACTATCACAAAACTAACTACTTCCAGCCATTTGTATTAACAGTATTTTGAAAGCAATAAGCTTCATAAAATTCGTGTGAAAGCTCCAGAATTACCTTAGGTGAAATAAGAATTAAATATTTCGTCGAAGTTTTAATACATCTTCAAATGCATTTATTTTCTCATTAAACTATGCATTTATTTAAAACAATAAATAAATGTATGTGAAATTTTATATAGCACAGCAGGAAACGAATTAAATTGCCAACACCGAAAGAAAATTGTGTTTGGGTGAGCAAAGACCGAGATTCGGAATTAAAAGAAAAATAGGGTAAGTGGTGGATGGTAACAAAGTTTTTTTTGTATCAGAAAAGTTAAATTGGATTCAACACTGCCGACTGTCGATGTCAAAAAAAGGAAATACGCATGTGATATGTCTGTAGGTAATTCCTTTATAGACTAGAGTAGCCATTTTTGGACGGTCTATATTTTCGTAGCACATTCCTACCCGTTTTCACATATTTCCTAATAATTTGGAGATAACATTCTCTGGAGTATGGGCGGCCACAATTCTTCCTGTATTCGAAAGTGTTACTTTAACGACTTCTTTAATACCGTATGCATTTTAATGCACGAATCCCTCGACTAGTCTAAATCGTTAATTATTTTCATGAGCTTCGGAACTACATTACGATTCTTTATCATCTGCAACAGAAAACTTTCACATATTAAATTTACAAACCATTTCGTATTAACACCTAAGCTTTTCCTCATTCAACTATTTCAATTCTATTTTTCCAAGTTTAATCTTTGGATAAGTTCATGTAGTTTCACATATTTCAATACATGCAACTGTTAAACTAGAATTTTACGTTCTTTTATTAAGCCGTTCTTCCATGCCTACACAATTTTTATACTCTATTTTCGAGTATTTATAATATCACAAGTTTGGGTAAATGAGAGACACGCATTTCCTTAGAGGTCGCAAGCCATGCATCTGAACACGTTTCTGGTATAGCGTATTTCATGATGCATTGGGGATTAAATAGAAATGCCCATTTGGCAAAAAAACTTATCCAAATAGGATTTTATTTCGCTGCTTAATAGAATCTGTACACAACTGCTGTTACTTTAATTATGACATTTATAATTATAAATATTACATAATTTCTTATTTCTTCAGTCAACTTTACAACACCTTTGCACCCGATGTGTTCAATAGGTTTTATTTCGTGTGAGAAAATTGTTTTTCTCTAAGAATAGGACTTTGTAAAAACATTTCTTTCAACAATTCAGAAAGTTATAGTATCATGAAAAATTACCCGATGGAACGTAAGTATTCGAAATAATTAGATATCTGGTAAGTTTGCGAAGATATTAAGGTGAGAGAAAATTTAAAATCTATCGCACGAAGTGCATACACTTTAATTCTCCACTTACTATTCCTGAAGGTCTCTGTTCGACGATTCTTCCTGACCACCGGAAATTTGTCCCGCGCCAGACGACGTGCATGGTATACACTGGCGCTGATAACAGCAGTCCAATTACGACCACCATCATTGTTGTAAAAATCACCAGAGTTTGAGGCAGAAGGAGGAAAAGGCGGCTAAATGTCGATGGCAACAAGTTGGTCTCGTTCACACCTTAACAAAAGAAACCAAGTTATTATATATAGTATAATACGAAGCTTATTTTTTAGGACCAGATCAAGCTGTTTATTGGTGTCAGCAATAGACAATGGTTAAAACGTTATGTTGCATTGAAACTTAGCATGTATCTTCAATATTTTAATATATGACCCTTGAAAAGCGATTCAAACGACTAAACTCCTCTGTGCAAAGATTCTAACTCTAAAAATTACAAAAAGTCTTGAAATAAAATTTATAAAATATCTCAAGACAAAATTACGCGAAAACTAACGGTCAAGTTCAATTCTATAAGATTAATTTTGAAACCAAAATATAAATACGCATTGACTACTACAATTTAAGTGTTCTGCCATCTGAAAACTTTCGTTCTTTCTAGAACCTAAACTTCACTGAAACCTGTTTAGTTAGTTATGGTGAATGGCGACATTCTGACTTCACTTTACGACAATGCCTCTTGCGTGTTTATGGAGTGTAGAACATTGAGATTTACTTTCCAACTGCGGCACGTTTTCCTGCATCTTGCGCCCCCCCCCTATTATATCTCGTTGGGCCGTCGTGGGGAAGGTGGTCACGAGTCCCAAGGCTTCCCCTGAACCCGCCACTGCTGCTCTTACTTTGACTAGTCGATACTCGCGAAATTAATTTACTATTTAATAGTATCCACGCCCAACAGAAAGGTTGCAATACTGCTTGGTCAAATCTGTTCATGTTGCTGTTCCAGTTTCGAAAGAACTTCTTGCATTTTATTGAATAATTTAAAAATTCCAGTACCACAATTCCAGTTATTCCAATTTTACGATTCCCTTTCTAGTGCCCGGCAAAAGTTTGTACAATTTTAAATTAAGTTATCTTACAATATTGCTGAAATGGGCATTTTAAAAAATTGTGTAATTCCATGGCACACAATTTTTTTTTCAATTCCTTAGGTACTGCTATTATAATAGTACGTAATTGATAATTGTCAATTTAACATTCATGTTACGAATGTACTACCTGCATCATACAGATATTTCTTCAGGAAATACAAAAAATATGGAAATCTAGTTTTACGCTTCCCAAACCTTTCTGAAAACTAAGATTTATTATCCAGGTAAAAATATTAATGATAGGTGTGAAATCGATTCCGTTTTCTACAGATTCTTGGCATAATTTTGTTGAGTTCAAGAGTGTTAGGTATTCGACAAAACAGAATACGTTTTAGATTTTGATTCTTGGAAATTACTCAAAGCTTGGGCAACTACTTTTACACGTTAGTCCCTTGTCGAAAATAATTAAACTTGTATGAAACTGTACAGACAAGTTGAACACCGCTTATTTCATACCTTTTGCATACAACGTTATTCATGTCTTCGTAACTAAAGCAGACTGATCAAGATCACTGAACCAGAAGGTAAGTACAATTATAATTACAATTACATTAAAATTAAAGTAATTATTTTCTTTGATGTGTAGCGGCGTAGGCGACTTTTCGAAGAAAGAGTAAGATTGGTTCTTACAAATAGACAAAAAATTGACTTTGGTGCTCGGATTTTGCTAAACTTATTACTTTTCCGTCTGAAATTAGTTTTTACTGTGCAAATCTTCTCTGAAAAATATCCGTTTCAATTTTTTTTTTATTCAGCACAATACGAGCCGTACACTTTACCAACTAAAGTGCCATTCTACATTTTTCGCAGAGATATTAACAGCTTGTAATTGCCGATTTGAATTGTTCATTCATTTACGTTAAGAAGGTTTTGTACGTTTTAAAACTACACATTTTCTATTTTTGGCAGTTCATTTAAGAAACTGTAACTTTGATCGAATTTAAATATTCGACATTCAATTGGAAGCCCTTTGAAGTCCTTTAAATCTCTAGATAACTCCAGGAAGTTGCTGCTGCTCGATTTCTGCTATCCTCTTCCTTCAGTTCCCGTTCGACTGCTTGCTGCACGCGCCCCAGGGTCTGAGACCGCAACATTTTATGGACTTTGCCTGGCACGACCCTTCGCGACTGCAGACGTGCACTTCTGACTCACCGACTTGACCTTGATCGTCTTGAGGGACGGCGGGCATGGGCGGCAGTGCGGGGCTCAAGGACACGACCATCGCCGTGCGCTCGGCCAGCGCCAGCGCAGAGTCCAGCTGCTGCGTTAGGAAGCGCCGGCCGCGCGGCAACGTCGCCTCCACTTGGCGCAACAGCTCCCGCAGCCCAGCCAGCACCTGCGCATGCGCACCGCGACGTGATATGATATGATCAGCAACCGTCCGTTCAGCTCGCATCGATGTTCTCCGATCGGTCTCCGAGCAGTCCATGAACGATCGTTATAGACTTCACCCAAAAGCCCGACATTGAAGGCTAGTATTATCATACCACGTTTTCTTGAGCTGTCCTTGCCCTAGATGCGACAGGATTGGGAGGTTTGTTAATTTGGATGACAGAACTATTATATCTAATCTTTAGCTCTTTTTCGACACAAAATAGTTACAATTAGACGAGAGCGAAACTTTCTGAATGTCGTCAATAACGCTTGTTGCTATCATCAGTTCAGGCAATGTCGCTAAAGGAGTGAGGGTAAGGATTCCGGAGCTCAAGAAAACTGGCGCGTATAATATCTAGTTCCTCCAGTGTTGGATACACCCAAACACCGTCTAAACAGTAAGGAAAAAAATAAACTTCCCGTAATGTTTTCTAAACGGTTTGAAATATTGATTTTAAATTTCCATCAGCCTTCAGGATGTACATAGAGGCTCTAGTTTTAGTTATTAGCTTTTATAGCATTTTTAAAAAGAGTAACTGTTTTAATGGAAGATTTTTGTACGTTTTTGTACAAGATTAGGTTTTGAGAAAAATTCAGTAATACTACAATGTTCATATTGATGAAAAATTATAAACACTAACGAGTCTTAAAATCCGGCATTATTTCAGGTTCCTACGTTCGGGATGCGGCTTTATTTCTGAACATTTCCAGGGCTTTTATTGTTCAGTTTTTAAAACTAATCGAATTAATATGGAATCTAACATGTCGAAACCGATAGAGACTGCGGTCACAATTGACACAGATACTCTAGTGTGAAAGAGAGTAGAAATCCGAGGAAAATTCGTTTGTGCCTTGCAGAGTGAATGATGAACAAATGTGTCCCCGTGGCGAGTCGCTTCTGCCGACAGTTTACGTACAAACTTTCAGAAATATGTGACCCCTTGTCGTAAAACATTTCACCGCGTTATTTCGTTTCATTAATCGTTTACGGCATATTCACGATGACCTAGTACTGAAGAAAACTCGATGGTTACATTAACAAAATATCAAGTGTCATTACTGCACATTACTTAGGACATTTCAACTATGAGTTGAATACGCTTTTACCCGGGAATAGCGTGATTTCATAGAGAAACAGAAAATATTTATTTTCTCCCGCCTTTCGGAAATCGACGTTCGGAAGCCGTTCAAAAAACAATAAGAGGGCTCGCCCCGCGGATGTACGTATAATGGTTTGCAAAAAACAGGTGACAATGTTAACTATAGTATTTTGAAAGGCGCCACCATACAAGTACGTCTCTTAAAAACCTAATGTTTAAGTCTGCCGGATTAACGATGCTAATAATGACTACATACCGATGAATTTTTGTCGCTCCTATTTATTATTTTGGACGGAATAAGAACTACTTTGAATGATTGTAACATATGAGAGATTTGATCGAATTGATTTTCATCTTAGGTGGCGGTAGACAACGATCGCTATATCGATATCCAATAAATCGCGTATGTACCGACACCTATCAATGAGCTTAACATAGCTTTCAGTTATTTTCAATATTTGGCGTGTTTTGGGACTGTTGGGTATTATTTCATTCGTGGAATACTCCTATTAAATTCCAATCTTGCTTTGGAAATTCTCAAATCCCCTCTCTTCGCGAGTCTGAATTTATAAACAATTTCCAAAGTACTATTACTGATGACACCTTTTGTAATCTAAAGTACTGAAATAAAAACCGTAGTTTTGTATACTCTTAGCATGTCGATGCTTTCGGAACAATAGCTATTTATGAAAGAAAATAAATGTTTTTTTCCATAGCGTGAGGATTCCTTTGCAACGAGTAAAAAGTTCACTCAAAACTATTTTTATATTGTTTTTCGCGCAATGTTTCTTACATTCCAGAAAACACTAATGCAATTTTCACTGTGGTCCACTATCCACAAGTTTCAACAGACCTATTTGGCAAACCATCTCGAAAGATTGATGACTACACGAGAGAAACCAAGATCGAATTCACTTACGCAGGATATTCAAACTCACAAAACAGTATGTACATAAATTATTTACACTTTTGTTTTGCATCCCCATCAGCAGCTGTGCAGTTCTGCAGTCCTGTGCATAGGTCTGCAAACGAACTGCCACGTTTTGTGGCGCTTTGAATCTGTGCTTGGGAATTTCAACCAGTACAAGAAAAATTACATTTGGATAAAATAGATGAAAATCGTTCATTCTGACCGTTAATGTATGTTAGTTCTGTATTCATGTAGCATGAAGTGCTATAGTAACGCCTGTCCTTCAATGCCACCCGCCTCCCCTCTCCACGTAATAGTTTTCTGCGTCGCGAAGGCCACGTTCCTGGAAGGCGACAGTTGGACAAGATTTGCTGGAACAGCCCCATGTAATTACAAATTTCATGTAAAAAATATAATTTAATATTCAAATTACTAACAAACCCTTAACATACGTACATTGTATTCTTCTTTTTAGAACTTTTCCACTACTGAGAAAAATTTTGCTGCATTTGAAAATAACGGGGAAATCCCTCAAATTCTCCAATACAATCCCTGTACAGATAGTAAGTCATACGAGTGATACACAAATAAATAAATGAACCTGACGTGAAATTTCTGCCTTTTTAAAATTTTAGTAAGAAATGAATTTTTTGGAAATTTGTAAGTAACAATACGGTTATAATAGTACTCAAGGTTAAAAAAACATTTGTTGCATTAAATCACGTTCACCCATTTACTTTTGAGGCTTTAAGAACACGTATTTTCTCTCATTCGTTTCTGCTACGCCAGGTCAGTCAAACCGCAGCCGCACGAGGTACTTGCCGGCCTGGCAAGCTCGGTGATCCTATGCGTAGATCACTGTCATGGACTCAGCTCTGTTCTCATTTCTTCTTTAAATCCACTAAGGTACACGCGAAAGCTCAAGCTGCGCAAGGCAAGGTCTGGTTGCACACGAAAATTTCTCAGCCACAATTTTACTCTTCATGAGATTCCGCCTCCCCTTTAAAACAAACGGTAAGTTTCGGGTTTATGATTGTATATGAGGACTATTTACGTAACTACACTGAATCACTACTACGGACCACCCCTGTAACGTCTAAACTATTCACGATCTCTAAATGCAATTTTCGCTCAACAATGCAAAATTATAGTGGCAAGTAATTTGCCATAGAGATTGGTTGAATAGCTTTGTTATCACTCCACTAAAACAGTTTTGAACAAAAGTGTTCTATCAAACTTCAAATTTTAACGAACTTCCTGGGTAAAGAGAAACTGTACTTTATTATGAAAGTCTTAATAGTAGTTTATGCAATTAGTTTATAATGTTAAGCTTTATTGCAAGAGTACAAGTTTTGAAAACTTCTGACATTAGGAGAAAGTTTTCAGATTGTAGTAATGCAATAAATTAACGAACTAGTTGCTTGCGCCTTTTTATGCAACACCATTATACATTTATAAGAGAATCAAACTTAATTTTGCGAACCAACTTCCTTTGAAGTCTCTGGTATTTGACATCTGGGCGAGAAAGTAGTCGTCAGCTGTTCCGTTTACCTCTCCACGATTCTCTCTCTGCGATAGGCTGAATGTGAGACAATTTGTGCAGTAAAATATCCAATTATTTACGATTTGTTGCAACAAAAAAAGTTAATAATGATGGTCTAAAAGAATTTACTACACAAATTCGTAATGCGTTACAATTAACCGATTATTTCTTTGTTTTAATATTAAGTTTGTAAATTGGAATATTAGTGTTACTTTAGCTCTAATTTTGATCACTTTTGCACTATTTGAATAGGAGTGGCTCCGTAGTTCGATATTACTTAAGGACCCTGAAGATCTTAATCCGGCTGCATGCAGGGATTCTATACCTACTTTTCCCGTTTGCACACTTAACAAGAAGTGAACAATAAAAATCAGTTTTATAACTACTAGATTTGGTTGGCATTTGAGCCTTCTCTAACAAACTCCCATTTTAATATTAAGAGAATCTGAATTTAATAAAAAAAAAGTAAATTTGGTCTATTCCAACTCCGCTCAGTTCATTAATAATGACCTAAATGTAAATGTGTTATTCCAATCCAGAAAAATATCAACCTTACATCCCATATAACTCCCCCCCCTCCTGTCAAAATACCTCGTTTTATCGAAACAAATTCCGTCGGGAAATCATTTTGTCAACCCAAATTCCACCCGAGATGACCAAGATTTCAACTCCCACACACAGAGGAAGGCGTTTATATAACTGCCGCGAACGCGACTAATTAGATTATAATAATCTAGACAAATAAAATCTATTCGAAAGAACTCTACGTAAATATTTTAAAAATTTTACTTACAACTTAAAAGCAAATTAATTTATATTATAACTTGTCGAGATTCCCTATGATTAATTGTTTCTAACCAGTTGAAAATGTCAAGAGTAAATTTGTGATTGAAATGGAAGAGACTAATGTCAGCAGATCCAATTAGAGTTCCATCTGGTCCCTCAACTAATGCATTGCTGATAAAATTCTGCTCATTGGTATGGGCTGATCCTTCGCCGCGGGAGAAACTGCCACTCACGACCATCTCTATTGTATCCGACGAAGGAACTCTCAAAACTTCAGACACTTCGTAACTAGTTGTAATTGTCAAAAGCACTGGCGCAAGTCTAGAAAATACTACAACTCGCGGAAGACGTTTAAACCGGCACTTCGCGCCGCTTCGGCGGCAACTGCGCAGTTCGAGTTCTCAAGTCTTTCTTGAAAAATGCTTTCTTAAAAGTGAATCGGCAATTTTGCGATGGATAGATTCAAGGATGTTTATAGTGAACGCGAGGGTCGAAGGCCCGAGCCTCGCCAAGACGTGGATCCGGGCGAGCGAAGCGAGAAACTTGCCTTTTAAAGTAAATTGACATTACAATGCGGCGGGGACAAAGCGTATGAAGGGCAAGACATGAAAATCGCCTATTCGTAATTTCTATCTGAGTGCGTAGCGTAATTTCAGGGAGGGCTTAAGAAGACCCCCTGCCGCCACGCTCCTCTGAAGCGTACCGTGTACTCTACTTTAATCCAGACTTTATCCATATAAATTAAAGAGTTCGTGGCAAGCCAAGGAAACTTATTTATGCACAATTTTATCACTTTTTAAAGAAATGACTTATTTCGGCTATCAATAGACACGGATGCCAGAGAACTATTTTTGAAAATCCATTTGTTATTCTGACCTTGCCGTTCAGTTATAAAATAGCACGATTGATTTTTGTCTACGATAAAGAGAAGTAGTTCGGCGATACCCACATAGTATGAAGTTCAATTTTTGTAAAAAATGATTTCTCCTGTCAAACGAGAAATTTGGAAGCAATTTCTATTCCGTTCAACACGAGGCCACACGTGCACCAGATAGCGAATCAGATTTGAAAATCTGAAAAACTTCAATGAACTCTAAAAACGAACATTTTATCCACTTTTGTACCGCATGTTGTACCTGGGGCGATAAGCTACCCTAGGTCCCCATTCAACGTAATAAAGGGAGGCCTCGCCAAAAACCTGCCGGGGGATGCGCAAGGTTTGGCGAAGAGTCATGCCAGCGAATTGTTTCTCTCTTACGAGAAAAGCCTTCGAAATCTTCGGCATTGAGAAATCTTTTTATTGCAATGAAATGCATTATAAATACATATATCAAAGTAAAATAATATCGCTGATCTCGGGTTTCGGTGCACCTTAGCCTCGACTTCCTCGATTACTGTGCCTTGACGTGATCAGCTTCTCTTCCTATAGGTGCGAAGTAATGTTACCGATCACAAGAAACTAATAGTTTATTATTTTTGAGAAACATTAAAATGAGCGGAGTGCATGAAATTATTTCTATCGTTCACGACAAGAAACAGACTTTAACGATACATACAGTAGCATTGAGGCCGTGACAGCGAAGGCCGTCAAGACCGAAGTGCATCGTAAACCCAGAATTAATCAAAACTACTTTTAAAACTACAATATATTTTATAATTATGTTTTCATTTGTGTGTATCGTATTAGAGTTACCGTTACGCAATGCCCAATGGAAGGTCAAGGAAATCAGCCTCAATAAAACTGAACTCAAAACTACCACACTGCCATTAAAATAACTATATCGTAAACTAGTCTGAAAGACTTTTCCTTAACAGATTGGGGGGGAAAAGACGGTAGAGAGTCTACAAAAATTGGATGGTTATTGTTCCTTTCGCACTATCAAGCAGGCTATCTTAGCCGCCAGTTTCACTTACTAGTAGAAATAAAATCGCCTGTACATTTTCAAGAATTACAAAATTATAAAGAAAAGTTCAAACAAAATATGAAAATCTCAGTTTACAATCGTTGGGCAAAACGTATCTCCAGGATTCAACCAGGATCAACCATTCTTGCACTTCTGTAAAATTGGTGTCTTCTACAGTTACAAAATAAGGTGTTCGAATAATGTACAATTTATACGATTTTTTTTCAAAAAGAAAAATATAAAAAAACAATGATAAATAATGAATTGCTTACATGGAAGAGCATTGTCAGAGAAATCTAACACTCGACGGCCTATAAGCACTGGCGTGATGGTGTACACAACACTTCGCTCACTACACAGGCAACTGACTAATGAATTGGACAGGGGAAATCTGCGAAATATTTCCAGAGGTGGAGGGGGAAGTTACGCGCCCTTTTTCTTCATAGATCACGTGACAGGGTTTCAACTTCAAATTAGAGTTCCCTTTTAGCCTCTTGTATTTCCCGTGTGTTGAAAAATAGTGCACACATGCTTAAAAAGAAGTCGATGAATGATATTTATATTTTTTGTTACATGTTTTTATCACAAACTTCCAACGTGTTCTTCGTTACTACAAACGTACACTCATAAGATCGTTCAAAACAATACCATTGGATATTTCTCCGTATCGACAAATGAGACGTTTGCTTCGTAGCAAACGTCTTATTCCAAAACCAACTTATTCTAATATTTAGCAAATATCTCTTTTTCTTTTTTTTGCTTTTAGAGAATTATTTGTATATTTATGAAGGAATATAGTTCAAATTAAGCTTCTTTCGAACTAACATAAGGTAGAGAAAATCATATACAACCGAGTGCAAGCGCGAGAACAATTTTGTCTCTCTTGTAAAATCGTCACACATGTAATGAACTGCTTTTGGTAGCAAACGTCTCAAATTATATATTATTCCGTTTTGTCCGTGAACATATATTGAAAGTTTTTCAGACACACTTTTATTAATGGAGTGTAATATGGATATTGTTCTTTAATATTAAGCGCCACTGTACTAGGCCTAGGAAGAAACTCTATAAGAAGGGCGGATAATATAATGAAACCACTGCAGAAAAATGAATCATACTGGAAGATCACATTAAATCCTAGTGCCAGAAATTCACATAAGTTGATGTTTTCAAAATGAATGAATGAATAAATGAAGTGAATTTTAATGCAAAAATATTTTCAAAAAAGATACTATACCACTATAATCCATGAATGTATATTTCATGCAAAATTCGATAAATTTCCTTTGTCAAGAAATTTAAATCGTTTTCAGATTGCCAACATTGGTGAAAAAAGGCAAAATGTACGAAAACAGCCAGATTTTCTTTCGTTAATGTTCTCGCCTCCTAATACTCAATACACAATAAATTATGCACAGAATATTTTTAGATCTTTTGAAAGCATTCTATGTTAATGGTCATACGACATTTTGCTTCAAAAATTACCTTTGTATGGAATTCGTGGATTAGTCTGTTATTGTCGTAAATACGTTAAATATCGTTGACAGTTCTAGAGCGTCGACCTTTCTAGAGAGCTATACTATATATTTATTTATTTTACGCCAAAAAATGTTAAACACTGTGTGTCACGTGCTACGTGGAGAAGCATATTCTGTGCACGTTTTCTCAATTCTGGGTGCCCTACCCCAAACCGTGTACAAGTTGAATTCTGAATACAGAGAGAAATGAACGTTTTTGACGAGAATGTTTAACAAAATATTCGCTCCGATGTAATACAATTTATTTTAATAGGCAAATCAGCTATAGATTTTTTTATCCGTCAGCATGACCTTTGTGAAGGAATATATTTCTACTATGCTGCGAAAACATAGCGAACGATAATTTTAGTAACTATATTTTTCACTAAACTCTAAGAGACTCAGTTGCAGCTCTGTGCCAGTTCTAGTGTTCTGTACAGCTCTGTGCTAAAGTCTAGTGCTCAGATACAGAAGTTACATTTAAATATGTCCAGAAGCAAAATAAGGGGCCATCTCAGCATTTATTCCAGATCATGGAAACTGAACGAAAAACCTGATCGAGATGGAGGATCATTGACTCAGATGCTGAAGTACAATACTTGTTACAGGTTGTTTGGAATTATATAGTCAAAAAGTGCCTTGTTTCTGCCGTCATGACATTCTGTCATCCGCTGGCCTCTTCATCTTTGTATAGTTTCTCATAGTTCTTGCATATTAGTTTAAACATATTATCTTTCAGGGTGTTGCCACTGAATTTGATTAGTTGTCCTGGTAATTGATCTGGCCCAGCAGCCTTTCTGTCTTTGAGCTTCTCTACCTCTTTATCAAATTTATTCCTTAGTATTCTTGGTAGTAATTTATTTTTTAGTTTCTCTTTTGTCATCTTCTGGTATTGATATACCAGATTCATTTTCTATATATTTCCTTTCACTCTTAATTTCTACTTCACTATATAGTTGTCCTAGGTAGATTTCCAGAAACCGATCATTTTTTGGGCTTCTCAAAATAATTTTCTGTGATCTCTCAGGACGTGTGACTTTATATTCTTTTGATTTAATTAACTGATACGTCTTATCTACTCTTCCGTTTTTTCTTGCTTTCTATATTTTCACACGTTTTTCCAATCCATCTCTCTTTTGCCACTCTGCACATCTTTGTAATTGTGCTTTTTGTCATATTGTGACAGGGCCAACCTTCTGCTGAATAGACTTTTCTCTCCATCCATTTATCCAAGAATCCATTTATTTCTTTCAGAGTTCAGCTGAAGAATCTGTTCTATTATCCATGGTTCCCGTGGTAAAAATTTTGTCTTGTCAATATTTTCGTCTCCAGATGTTTTAAGGGTTTCTTTGATGCTATCCCATTGCTTAATATTACTGTATGAATCAATGTTTTCAAGGCAAATTTGTGTTGAATTTCCATTTTTTCTTACTGTCTAATTTCCTCAGTCTGATGTTGCATTCTGGACTTCTTCAGGATTAAAACATGGTCGCTATCAATATCAGGTCCGGATAACTATGGCTAAATTTTATTTTGTTTTCAAATCTTTGTCTCAATAATATGTAGTCATTCTGCACACTACTTATATCACCTGGTGCTTTGCAAGCATACCTATGTCAGAAGGGTACTTCAAATATAGTATTGGTAATCGTCAAATTATAATGTCCGGTGAATTCTAAAATGTGTCGTCCTCTTTCTTTCAGGTTTTTTAAACCGGTTTTGCTTGTAGGCTTTTTATTTGTGTGATTTTCTACTGTGGTCTCCCACTACAGATGATCTCCAACACCACATTAATAACAACAACAACAACAACAACAACAACAATAATAATAATAATAATAATAATAATAATAATAATAATAATAATAATAATAATAATAATAATAAGTGAAGAGCAAGAGTGGATGCATGGTGGATTGCTCCTCCTGAGGAAGTGTGACATACATGCCGAGAATACAAGGCACGGCAAGAAGAGGGACGGTGCTTTAAAGTATACGGCACAAGAAGTAGCAGAAGAGAAGAGAGAGTCTTCAGAGATCCTGAGCTCTCTGTCAATCACGAAGAGAAAGTGAAGGCAAGAGAAGAGAAATTAAATGATATGCGAGCACAAAGGAAAAAGAGAGCGGCACCTAGTCCACCAGAGGAGTCTAACAGAAGGGACAAGAAAGATAATAAGAATAGAGTAATCACGGTGGAGAATACTCGTGGAGGAAGCCATGAAAATCAGAGAGAGGTGATAGAACCTCTTGAGATGAAAGGAAGCCAAGAAGAGGAGCGCTGGGAAGAGCAGCAAAGAAGTAAAAGGAAAATATCCAAAAGAAAGAAGAGTATAAGTCAAGTAAGAAATTCAACCCAGCTATGAAGGTGACAGCTAGGCAAGGACATACGTAATCATCATAAAGAAGATGAAGAATGCCGTGGATCCTAATGGTTACGGTACGAACATACTGGCTGTAAGGAGGGCCCGAAAGGCGGATATGCTCCTTGTACTAGAAAAAACTGGCAATATTGACGCGTTGAACGAGGCTCTGGAGAAGGCGGTGGGGGAACAAGCGAATGTGAGTGCCCTTACGCGGAAACGCCTAGTAGAAATTAAGGATATTGACGAAGAGGTAATGAAAGCGGTGAGCAAGACAATAGACGTAACGGCAGACCAGATCTCCGACTCCTGTAGGTTACGTAGGGGATATGGAGGAATGCAAACAGCCCCAATGCTATTGGGCGAAAAAGTAGCCAAAAAGCTCATAACGGCAGGGAAAATTAAAATCGGCTGGGTGGACTGTGGAATAAGAGAAAAGCCCTAGATATTAAGATGTCATCGATGCTTAGGCTTTGGACACATCTCAACTGCTTGCAGAGATTCCGATCGAAGTAAAGCATGTAACAGGCGTGGCAAAACCGGACATGGTATCAAGGATTGTACTGGTAAACTGCAGTGTGTTATATGCAAGGAGGGAAACAAAGACGATAATCATCTGTTAGGAGGTAATACATGTACCTCCATCATCAATACAGCCAAAAAGAGAAAATATGCTCCGATTCCTACTAATTAATCAGGAGTAAACAGGCGTGGGACGCTGCTGAAAGGGAGGTTAACGTGCTGCTCGTCAGCGAGCAACCTCACTGCGACGTGTGGTATCCGGATGCTATTGGAAGAGCCGACATAAAAATGCATAATAAGCTGAGTATCACGAAACACAAGAGAACGAAATACGGGTTTGTAACGCTGGAAGTGGGAATTATAGTTAATAATATGAAATAAAATAATAATATAGTTAAATATGAGAATTTATAGTTGCTATTTTTCACCGAATGATACGCTAGAAAATTTTCAGAAAGATATCGATAAGCTAGAGGTTAGCTTGAAAACGTCTAAGAGTGGCAGGCGATTTCTATGGTAAGTCGTGCGAATGGGGAGAGACGCGCTCCGATAGAAGAGGAACTATCAAATGTGAATTCATTGCAAGAAATGATCTGATCATCCCTAATACTGGGGACGAGTACACCTTTCAACGTGCAGACGCATCATCTATTTGGGATTTGACAATAAGCTTCACCAAGCTAGCTAAAGGCATCGCTGATTGGTCATTGCTCGACGAAGAAACTCTGAGTGACCATCGGTACATAGGATTTTCGGATCCATTAATGGAGGGGCCGCGACATGTCAAAACGTGATGTAAAGGAATACCCACCTTGGAATCTCAAAAAATTGAATGAAGGCAAGGCAAAACGCTCCTTGGAAGAATCCTGGTTGCTGGTTAACATGAGTTGGACGAAAGAGGCGGAAACGCTTGAGGATATGGTCAAGGCATCGGTGGTAGTAGCTTGCGACGCATCCATGCCTAGACGTATATGTCCGAGGAGGAATCAGCAAATG